TCCCAAACCGCACGGTAACGACGGCAAAAAAAAAATGCGTTCTCGTAATGCCCGTTAAACATGCTCGAAGGGAACGTGCTCTCGCTCACGAAAGAGAGGAAAATCATTTGAGTTGGCCCAGTGTTTGGATACTTCTCGGAACTTGAGATCTTCGTACTTTAATATCAGTGAAAGGTTTGCAAAACTGCACGAGGAAGGTTCGCCATTTTTTTGCCTTTCGATTCACTCGGCGACTTCAACGCACAAATTACGCCCAGGGCTCATCTCTTTATGTCCACGGCCATCAAGTTTATGGAAGCATTGTCTTTGTGGCTTTCATTGCAAATAAAAATACGTATTTCATTTTTTGCGAGAAGAAAATGAGAGGCTTTTTTATTTCCCGCCACCAATGAATCCACTGGCTTTTGGGGCGAACCTGAAAGCAAATATCGATATTTCGATGAGTACCTACCGAAAGTAAAGATTTGATCAACTCTGCGACTGCACGATGAGATGGCACAAAATTCCACTGCTTTGAATATTTGGCATTCATAATATTTAAAAGGACTATTTAAAAAAAAAAAGCGGTACATCCACGTTGAACTAACGCCGAGAGGATTCGTATAACCGGGGTTCTTTTAACGAATTTGTATGCAACATGAGCAGTATTTTTCTCCAAATCCATTGAGACTCGGAATGGATTCTTTTGCATCTTCTCAACGCAAAACTACGCGGAAACGAATGGAACCGTATATGACAGTGATGCCGCATCTATTTTTTTTTTCCCACTGAATTACAGGTTTTATGCCTTCTGAATACCAAAATAATTATAAGCCTGGCTTAGTAAACTAGGTAATAAAATAGTATATGATAATGATATGCAAATAACTAATTTTGAAATTTCTTCTAATCTTTTTACCGAGCAAAATACCAAGCAAGGCGCTTGCTCAGAGAGCAGTCATGCACTAACCAAGTAGAAAGTGAAGGGACATTTGCAACTGTGGTGGAGATATAGATTTTATCTTTAATTTCTTGCTTCCGTTTCTCCTGCAGTGGACAATGGAATCCTTGAACGCACATGCGCTCTGCTCCGGATGGCAGGTGATAGGAACAAAAAAAAATTCAGGTGACAAAGTCCCGCGGGCCGCACACCAGGACGTCGCGGGCCCCACGCGGCCCGCGGGACACGGGTCGCTCATCACTGGTATATGAGTTCCACACGTTCCTCGATTGCGTAGTTACTTGGTCAAGCGTCGCACTATTCGATGTTTCTCACCTGGAACGTAAAACAAAGGAACCATCAGATGCAAACATCAGTGACGGGGGTAACAGGACTTTTGGAACACCCTGTAGTTTGAAGACGGTTAAAATGTCGGTTGCCGGGCATCACGAAGGCAGCCATCCTCTCTGCTCTCCGTTTCTTCTCGCACTCGAGCAGTGAGCCTCGTCTCTCGTAGGTTTTGCAGTCCCAGGAATGCCTCGTGATATACTGCAATATCGTATAGCGTCTTGCAGAATTTCTGCGACAAATAGTCGCACGCGAATGATTGGAGCCATGAAACGGTCTGCGGTGGAGAGACGTGTCGATAAAAAAAATTCCTAAAACCCGGATTACGTAAAAGTCCATGTTGACTCCGAGAGGCACCATAGAAGCTCGTGAGCAAGCGATACTGGGTCCCTTGGGCGTGATAGACATCATGAAGACGGGCTTCGCGTCGTAATGCAGATTGCGAGCCGATCGGTAGGTACACATGCGTAAGTAGTTATTGTTACGGATGGTTCCCTTGGGAATCGCCTTGCATGATATGTTCGATGGGCTGTGTCGCAACTGGAACTGACACATCTTAACGACCTGGGCTCATCGAGCTCATCGTCTCGAGGGGGAGGTCGGGAGGTGAGGGAGTTAATAATCCTGCTCACAGACTTTCGGGTGGATAGAGATATCTGAACCTGATGTGACATAATGAGATGGAGTTGCGAAGTCTCTTGTTATATTAGTTCGGTTTATTTTAGCTTGGCTTTGACTTAAATTGGTTCGTTTATTTCGTTTTGGTTCATGATGTCCTTACAATGAAGTGAACCGTTTCTGAACGGGGGACACCTCGACTGAGTCCCTTACGAGCCGCAGGAATTAGCGCCGAGCCCTATCTACTGTATGTGGCCCCTCCAGTTGCGGAACAGCCGTTGGATGCTGGATGAAGTACCGTGCGTATTTTTGGGAAATCAATGATGCTGGATGAAGCACCGTGGGTGTTTTTGGAAAATCAACGACTAAACAATATTTAAAAAAAGGGAGTCCTATTTCCAACGATTTTTTGCTCTTGTACAGTTTACCTCCTGGACGGGAATCCCCTCAAATCCAGATAAGAAACTCCTCCGTCTCTCAAGGCACGTGTCACCGATTTGTAAGTACTGCGATGAACTGTCTCGTGATTATTTCATTGCTTCCTCTGGGACCGCAGCGTGTGATGGCGAGATAATCCCAACTCGACCTTTATCGTTCGCGATGGAGACGATTTGCCATCGCCGGTGACGTCGGGGTTTATCTTCGAAGTGCGCGTTCTAACGTCGCATTGCTGGTATCGTTGGAATTTACGATCGGTTGTCTTAATATCGTAAAAAAAAAAATATTTTCTTAAGTAACGTGAATTTCAGACTCTACTGTGAAAAACAATACGGCCAAATACTCCCAGGTTTTCACTGGAAGGTTTACTTCCGTGGCTTCCTTGGAAATTTCATCCTTTCCCCTGTAATATTACAGAGAGAAAGACCAGTCTCTCCTATTTAATATTAGGGGAGAAAAAAGAACAGACTTTGGGAGAATTCACTAATTATTTTGATAACTGTAATTTACCCAGGCTTCAGCCAATTGCAGACCTAGCAAGGCTAATTTTTACCGGGAGCCAACCGGGGCTAAATTTTACGGAGAGGATATTCCTTCCGAAGTCGGTCGTTACTGGAACAAAAGCAGCGGTACGACGTACTAATAACTTACTTTTTCTTACTTAACTCTTTAAGTGATACTCATGTGAATAATCGTGATAACGAATTCTTGGGGGGATTTAGAATGTTTCGTTCGAAACCAGCAAGTTTAGCCGTGTTAAGATATTCAGATGTGTTTACATCTTTACCTTTAGATGTTTATGTACTTAAGAGTGCACCTGCTGAACTTGCATAACATTTGGAGAATTCATATGCTGCAAAAAAAAAGTCTTACATTGCAATCAAACGACGAAATGTAAGATAAAAAAAGAGTGCTCATCGAAAATATAATCACTATCAAAGCAGCACCTAGAACCGGTGCGTTTACATGAACCTTGATACCATGTAACTATTGTGACTACGGATCGAAGTGTGCGTAGATGTGGGAAGGCGGTTTTCGATAGCTGCTCATTTTTAAAACGATACTTTCTGACTTAAAGTAGCTTGATCTAGAAGTCGAGCGGGCAGTTAAAGGGTTAAAATTGCGGAAACGTTGGATTTTTTCAATGCGGTCCATTCAAGGTGGACCAAAGCATCCGTGTGGCCCTCGCCTCAATAAGTCTTGGGACCACAGGACTAGAGGGTAACTTCCATTTCACAGCCATCTCCAGAGGATGTGGATGGCAAACTACATTTTTTGTGTCCATAAAGGAATGATCCAAAGGTGATGCCTTTAAGGATGAAGAGGAGATCGTCTCGTTTACGAAGCAGTTCCCAGGAGTACAAGAGTTCACACGCTCACGTGTTCGCTAACATTTCCAGAGTCATGCTGGTGGATGGTTCCTGTATGCGGTTCTTTTAGGTCTGTCGCATCATGCAGTCTCTTGACATACATCTTTTCTTTGATATACTCCAGGCGAAGAAGTCCATAGGGGTGAGATCGGGAGAGTTTGCTGGTCGTGAAATTGGGTCCCACATCCACACCGTCAGGGAATTTCCGTGTCAGGTATTCACACACGTGTGACTTGCGACGGTGCCTTTCCTTGCTGGTCGGAGCCGGAAGGAACTCCTTAGAAATAGCAAGGGGGAAATTGGAGTGTGGACGTGCGGACGGTTGCAACCTTAGCAACCCCTTCCGATTTCGTTATCTTATCCGTGATTGTCGCCGTTCACGTGGCCACGAGGGTGAGGAAACTTTCTTTTCGTTGATTTTTTTGGTCCTTCTCATTCGTATCTCCACAAACACCATTCGCTAAATTTTACGGGAAAATTACTTTCATACTCCGTTTTCTGACTTAATCAATACTTTGGGACCCATTTAGCGTTGAACAGGGTGCAGCACAAAAATGTCCCTCACTTAGAAAGCTGATTAAAAAATATATTATAACCGAAATCGTTATAAGAGACATACTGATTCATAGGAAAACTCTCCATGTTTTATCTAATTACATTATATGCTCAAAATGACCTCCCGAAGGTCAGCACATTTGCGAACAAGTAGGGCAGTTTCTGATCGCAGTTTGAAGAACGTCAAGCTCAACTCATGCAACGACTCTCGTCACCACATCCTTCAGGTCAGGAATTGTCTTCGGGTTCTCTTTAACCATGTTTTCCTTGAGAAAGGTCAATATATAAATAGATAAATCGGTCCCTTTCGGAAGGACTAACTTATTGGCAAATGCCAACTCCAACAAAGGCCCTATATTCACAAAAAAAGTTTTGCTTGAGCCACGGCGCACAAAATTACCCTATTTTTTATGCTGACAACTGGCGCAAAAAGGTGGCTTAGAATGATTGCATTCTCGGAATCGACTAGTTTAATTAAGAAAACACACTGAAATTGAAGATGCGACAACAGCTTTCACTCACCAATGGGTACAAGACTCGGTATTGAAAAAGTAAAGGTCATTACCAATAGCAATCGTGGACAGGGGTCTTGCACCGTATTATCCGTCTCTGCAAAATTATAACTATGGTCCTCTGACGAATGGGTTTCAGCTGTTACGTTTGATCGTGCATCAAAAATGAAAGTAAAGATAATTTTTTTTAGCATGTTTAGAATAAATCTACGTGAGCGAAATGAGTGCAGCAGGAATAAGTAAACAATATGGAGCATTTATTGTACAATAATAACTAAGAAATACCTGTACATACGTTTGGCTGGGATTCCATGTCCCGCTCACCACTTGTTATGCCCAACAGTTGCCCTTCTGAACAGTAGGTCAGCATTCCATTGTACTCAGCTTTACGAAAGAGTCGGTCTGCGTGAGAAGGCTACCGAGTTCATGGTGTCCTGCTGTATTATTCCAGAGGTGGTGCACATCAAGGATGCAACAGGATGTTAAAGTCCTCTGTGTGCCTTTCTGCAAATTTGAATCATGAAACCTTTTTCCCAGAAAACTTGATACTTCATTGACATTCCTTGCATAAACACAGTGATGAGAGAAACATGGTACGTCGTCGTAAAATAATGGATCACAACTGAGAACTCATGCCTCATAACCAGAGGATTCGATAATAAAGAAAAATGATCCTAGCCATCATATGACGGAAAATGAAAGCACTGAATGGATAAACATCTCCAATGGAACACAACTGAAATGAGAAAGGTTGAGAGCTAACTTGCTCCTTTGGTCTTCATTCCATTTCCACTGGTAACTGCTTCAAGCGGCGTGCATGACACCTGAAAAAAAAAAGATAGCACTCTATACTACTGAGGGAACAAAGGTGGGACAAAACTCGTTATGTTCCTGCCATCTTTCAGTGCAGTGGTGAATATTTCTTTTCCTTTATGCTTAATCCAGAAGGGGGAAAGAAATCCCCCAACTTCAGGGATAGTCAGCTGTAGATGGACTTAATTTTCCTTGCAAGGCAAACATGTAAAGCTGCATTAACATTTTCATCCATTCCCATCTGCCAATCCCCAAATGTACTAATTTAGTTTCCAATAAGTATCTTCTTCTTAAAAAAAAATCCCACCAAACTCTGCCAGTGGGGTTCAAGAAAAAAAACCACCAAGCATTGTCCAACATTAGTCTGAGCTAGAGAAAAGCCCTCATTTACGCATTGATCTATCCCTATATACATGTCAGTCCTCCAATGAAATTACTCACCCTTCTCATTGATGACAATTGGTATACAAACAGAATTCTTTTAAACTATAATTTTATCTATAGTGCCTAAAAGATTTTTCAGCTTCACTTCTCAAAAAACATCAATGAATAAGCCTCCTTAGCACTTACCCCACGAGTCTTGGTGTGGAGGATGGGGGGTCCTGTCTATAATATGTTCAATATCCCACACAGCATAGTGACATCCCAAAGATGTCCCCAACTGGACGACTTGTTCCAAGGTCTTTATGAGACATCCTGAATACATCTTTTTTTGGATAGTTTCCAACATCTCAATAGAGATGCCTTCAGGACATCTAAGAGACATATCTTAAACATCTTCCATTGAATTCTTATAGATATCCCAAAGGGGATATCTCTAAGACATCCTTAGTTAAATGCTTCTGGATATCCTGTAAGGGTTGTCTTTAAGACATCTTCAGTCAGCTTTATCACCTTGAGTCAGGTCCACAACTTCAACATCCCCCCTGTGTCCTGATCTCCATCCTCAGATTTACTCTATCAATTTTATCAGCTTGATTTGTACAGGATTTCCCTTCCTCTTCACCAGTTTTCTCCAATCAGTCAAGAATTTAATATTGGGGGAATCCTAAATGATCAAGTAGAGATATCTTATCAAATAAAGGGTTGGGCTGTATGGCAGGAAATTAGTACTTCAGATAGAAAGGCACATTAATACTTTGGTATCACTGAGAGCATGCAAATAGTATCTAGAACTTCTCATTTGTCACAGGAAAATTATCCGTGGTACATCTCTGGTATATGCTTGTTCTGCAAAAAAGGGACATCCTTAGGATGTCTTAGCATCCAGACATTTTGATATCCCTAAGACATCCCTATTAGTTGTCTCTGGGACTTCTCATTTGTCCAAAGACTATCTCTAGGACATCTTTTCAATGTACTTATGCTGTGTGGAATATTTCCAGGGAAGTAAATAAAACATTCTCCACTATGGTTATGTATGCATTGTATATGTATGGTGGTATGAAATACAACTCTGGCGAGAGAGAAGCAATGACAAGACAAGAAAGACATTGGCAATAGAAAGAAAGAGTCCTGGAGTGAAAACAGTAAAGTAAGAAAAGAACACTAAGAAGGTTAAAAAATACATATTTAAAATAATAATGAGTTATTACATTTAATATACATTATTATATATAATACATATATAATTTATACATATTTTAATTTATTTTAGTTATTTGCAAAAGGAAGCAAGTGAAAAACCTTTAGGCACTCAAGAGAGAATTCTAGTTTAGAAGAATTCTGATTGGTCATCAGATTACAATAATTTGATTCAGAGTAAGCCTTTGCAAAGGCATGAAAACACAATATGTATTTAGTAAAGCTCAAATCCCATTACCATATGACCTAACTCAAAGGCTCAACAAAACAGGAAAGAGGAGGAGGACACTATACTCACTAATGCCCCTGGAACTCAGGATGAATAACAGGAGATGAAAGAATATGCAGGAGTGTAAGAATCATAATTGAATGCGCTGCTTCTTGCCCTGGACAAGATGAGCGGCAAATTTCTCAGGGAACGGGAGCAAGCCAATCTGGTCCAAGTGATCTCCAAGGAGACTCAGGTAATCCTCTGGATAAGTTTTGAAATGGTTGCAGTGGGTAGACTTCTTCCACACCTTCACCAGGGCCTGCATTGGAGACTTCTCTTATTAAGGTTTTGCACTTCTTCCCTTTCATTCATTCAGAAACATAGAGAAGCATTGAGGAAAGCCTTACCCTACCTTAGTAACTTCAGGTAATGGATCAAAACTAGTACAAAAACAGAATGTAAGAAGTGATGGAAATAAGTGGCTAGATCGATTTCAAATGTTTTGTTTTAAATAAACATGCATGAAAATGACACATACATAGAATTATAGCCTAGGGACTCACATTTTTTTAATGAGGTACATCTCAGTAAGATTTCAAGATGATATCCTCCATCATCAAAACACTAAGTATATGATCCTGGATTTTATGGATTGCACAGATTATTTTCTGGGATTTATAAAAAGTCAGGGTAAATTCGTCTTCAGAAGTTGAAGATTCTTAATTTTCACACTATAAACAATTTAATGCACCACAAGCAAAAAGTCCATTGGTGTTGTATCAGGTGACCTCTCTCAGAAAATATTCACTCAATGTTATTCAAGAGGTGATACAACTTTTCTTTATACAGGAATAGCCTTCCCAAATAATTTTTGATAGTACTATTTAATTGTGTGAAATTTGATTACAGTCCAATATAGGATTCAGCTTTGTATTTGTTAGAGGAGCTATAAATAAGTCCTGAGAAAGATTTTATGTGATCCAGAAAGGCAAGAAAATATCAAAGGGGAAAAGAGAAAAAAACCCACCTTGATACCCTCCTGATTCATGTTCTCTACAATGCCAATGATCTTCTTAATCTCTCCTACAGGATCAGCTTCAGATGTCAGGAAAAGTGCTGGACAGGGAAGTGGACGGTTAACAAAAGCTTCACTTGATGCCTTGTAATGCACTGTTGCCACATTGTAGAATACTCGCAGGTGATACCTGTAATTACATGCAGCTAGTGATGAGGGTGAGCCAATAGATAAATTATGCTTTCATCAATTAAAGGTGGGCAAACATAGACTTCAAGGAATTTGTCATACAGTATGGTTGGTTATTATTTGTCAAATGCCTTATTCCCACCAATCTGAAGCTAGGAAAGATTCAATCAATGACATGTTCACTATATTCTGAGGATTTCATCGGATGATCAATGTCAGGTAGGTCAGGGGTTCTCAATCTTTTCAATTCCATGGCCCACCCAATAACTGCAAAGTGATCAGAGGCTGATTACAGACATAGAAGCTATATTATTTTTTCTAGTCTAACTGTTACTTCTCATTTTTAAATTTATGGATAGTTGTCATGGCCCACCTACAACAACTTCATTGACCACTGGTTGAGAACCACTGATGTAGGTGATCAACAGTTTTGAAAATCCATTCCTAAAACTTATCTCACCTATTCATTGTCACTGAATGCTTCTTTGCTCTTGTCTTTCAGGATCTCATTGAAGAGCTCATATAGATTACATGAAAGATTTAGCAGTGCCCAAATTATTTGCACACCAGCAGTTTAACACAATAGGACAGAAATTTTGTATAAAACATGGCTGGAAGTATGAACTATATAATTACTCAAGAGAGAGGTTCTTTTTAAGGGTCACTGGACTCAAAGTTTTAGCCTCATTCCATCTTTCATTGTTACAAGAACATCAGTTCCTGTTCAAAATGGGAAAAACACTGGAAATAACATGTGGAAGGAAAATTCTTGTTTTCATCAAGCAGTTCATTCAAATCTGGCTATTGCTAGACTCCATAGTATCTCTGAAAGTACAGTGTGTTACATCCTTTGAAAATCAGACATATATAAGCCTATAATAATAAAAATCCTCCCATGGTCTGGTAGAAATCCAGTTTTGAGTGCTTGTGATTATATAAAAATACCCTGAAATTCTCACTCAGACTTCATGACAGCAACCAAAATCAGGTATGAAGTCTACTGCATGGACACAGAATTGGCTATCAAAATGTAAAAATTCTGGAGGCCTAACTGCAACATTGCAGGATGGTAGTAGAGAAATGGAGTCACTTATTCATTTTGAACAGAACCAACATGAAGCCACTGCCAGATTATTTATTTTCTTCACTTATCCTAATTCAGTTTCCATCAGGAACTAGACTAATTCTACTCTCTTTACTTTTATTTAAAGTTGTGTGATGACTGGGTAATTTGACAAAAGGAACTAAAATGCCAAACCAGAATCTAGAAGAAATAAAAGTTGCTTCATGGATGGGAGTTCATGAATGCAAAGCCTTTTTGAGGACACTGTAAGTCCTGCCAGGGGTTCCTTCTTCCTAACTAGCACACTTCCTCCTTCATGGAACATCTGCCTGTCAATCTTGCTGGAGGTTCCACATTAAAATGTGACCCAATAAGTCTTTTCACTAGAGTAGAGCACTAATGCCTTAGGGAAAATGTTTTCCTTTCTCGTAGATTCTATTGTGGCACTTCAAGTAAATATTTCAAAGTATTCACCCATCACTCACTTAAAAATTAAAGAAAAGAGAGCAGAACCAGGATAGTTCCTGGGAAATTTGGGGCCAGGATCAGTAAAAGCAGTGAAGTAAATTAATTTTCTGTCAATGACTCCATGTTGGTACCATTAAAAATAAACAATGACTCTTAAAAAAAACTTTCACTTTTCTACTACTATTCTACAAAGTTTTCACTCCTTTTGCAGTTGAGCCTCCAGATTTGTTTAACAACTTTGTGTCCAGCCTGTAAAAGGAAATTGGATAGGAAATCAGAAAATTTGCAATTAAAAAGAGCTCTCAGAGAAGCTGATCTTCATGGGATAATCACTAGAAAGAAGCCTCCTTTGAAGCCATACAACATGCAGCTTAGAAAGGAATAGGCCAATTCACTCTGGTCAGTTACTGGCTCCTTAAGGCTGGAAGGATGTCATCTTTCTGAAGAATCATGGAGGTGGTTTCATTGTTTGAGGCTGTTTTTCTTTCTTTGGAGTTGGAGATCTAGTTAATATTGATGATACCATGGATCATCATGTGTACTAAAGAATTCTACAGGAACACATGATCCCATCAGCAGAAAAACTGATGTCTGGCTGCCACTTCAAATTTCAACAAGACAATGATCCCAAACACCTCAGAGTTCTGCCTAAACTTCCTGTAAAAACAGCACAGTGTGGATGAGAACATTAATCTACCTATGTCTATGGACTTCAACCCCACTGAGAGTCTGTGGGAAAAATTTGGCAAGAAAGTTGACCTTCATCAAAGAAAGCCTTGGGGAAATTCTCTAAGAGTGATTCAATCTTCCATAATATCCTAGCAGAAGCTTGATACATTAATGCCAAGCAGAGTCAAAACCATCAAGAAAAAAGACGGATGGCACAGAGCACTAGAGCTCAAGAAATGATTCAAATAAAGATAATTTTCTGCATTTAGAAAAAGTCTTATTTAAAGGGTTTGCAAATACTTCTGGGTGCCACAGTGCATGCCCATAATACAAGTCCTCTCATTTTTTTAATGCAGAATGATGGTAAATACATTGTTCCTAAAGTTTCTGACCCATAAAAATAAAGATGGAGGCAAGATTAATGGGAATATATTGATTTAATTGCATTCTATGAAGCCAAAAATACCCCAGGTACTGAATCCTGTATTAATACTTGGTGTGACTTCCACTTACCTCCAGGAACCTTAAAACAGTGTCCCAAAGCTGTCAATCAATGGATGGATGAAAACTATTGCATTGGTTTCTCACTCATTTCAGAACTCTGGTAATGAATTATTCTCAATTTATGAGGTGGGGCTGACGTAGAGTACTATGCTGGAACCTGTGCCACAGGTGCTCAGGTTTAGACAGTTACTTGGTCAAATTCTTTTAGAAATGAACCTATCTCTTTGATGACACAAATGATGCAGCTAAACCTGTGGCATAAGGCTCCATCCTGCATCAGCACAGCCTTTACTTGGCATGAGCAAAACACCCAAATCTTCATTTAGCCCATGTAGATAAGCAAAATATTTTCAAAGTAGCTGGCATAGCATCTACTCCCATTTGTGTGGGTGGGTCGACAAATTTTTTAATACCTTGTATATGTTGAAAGGTTTTGTTATTACTTGAATGAGAGTGAAAATCTTAACTGTTGATTAGCTTATTTGTCTGGATCTTTAACCCTTTTCCTGTTTTACACAGCTATGTCTGACAAAAATGTCAGATGACATAATGGTTTAAATCTCTAGCCTGGAACATTGCATGAGCCATATAACTGACATATCCATGGCTGCAGCTAAAAGGTGTAGTGAGAGATTCTCCAAGTTTCAATTGTGTATCTAGTAAAACATTGGAACAACAATTGGTGATCCACTAAAGAATCAATAATAAGCCATGTTTACTTATTTTGACAAAAACTGTTCTACTGCTAGTTGTTTGACAAATTTGTATAAAATTGTGATGCTTACATTACCCACTTCACAGAAGAAAAAAAAAACATTTCAGAGGAATGTGTAGAAGAAAATCACATAATTTGAGTTCTGTCCTTTCTTTCTCTGCATTTGAGATTCTAGGTCATTCAAGATTAGGGTTTTCTTTGTTTTGCCAGGCTTCAGAAATGCAAGAAGCACTCCCAACCAGGGAATAATGATAATCAAAGATTTGATGCTATAACAGCATGACCTAAATATGAGAGTTGAGCCAAAAACTTCTAGATTCATGAAATAAAATTATAAGTAACAGCAGATTGTCCTGAAACTTGCAAGCATTGCACTACAAAATATTCATCATGATGATCTTGGTAATCTTTAAAATAATCACTGGCAATGTCAATACACTTTTTCTTTTATGATAGTAATTTGAAGACACCAAGTTCTACAAGAGGCAGTTGGGTAGGTCCTTTGGTTTGTAATTGCAGTCAAATTTTGATGGTCAGAATTTTAATTCAGCAGTTTTCAAAATTGCTGCTCTATAAGAACATTTATAAATACAGGCCAAGCAATTAATGTTTAATGTTCCAAGAAGAGAAGAGTCTCTTCAGTTACAGTTACTCCCTGGAAAGCAGGAACATATTGTGAAGGTCATTTGAATACCGTCATGTTCCTTCATGAGAGTCCTCCACAGATATAGGTAAAGAATGTAATGAAGTAGCTCACTTGATATAACCTTCAATGCTTTTCCTCAGCACAGGATTGGTAGAGATAGCTTTGGGAAAACCCTGTGGGATGTTCTCAAAATCCACCACACTATCCCAGACCTGCCCAACAAATCGTTGCATGAGGCCTTGATACTTTTCCATGCTGCGATACAGCCTCACCAGGCATTCCCCAAATAGGTATCCCCCAACAGAGAATCCATGGATGCAGATTGGCCGTCCTGGTGGAAGGGCATGTAACTGGTCCAAGATCCTCTCTGCTACCACCTAACAGAGTTCCATTGCATTAAATGGGTTGGGGGCACTTAACAGAAAATTGCTTCACAGACAAGACCCTTTCACAAAATTACTGTTTCATAGAAATGGGACCATTTAACAGTATAAAAAATAGAAAATCAGCATTATTTTAGAGAATATAAGCCTTGAGCTGCAAGTTCTAATATGACAGCTTCAAGACATCACATTCAATCAAGTGCAGTAGAAGCAGTGCTTCAAGTAGAGCATTTGTAACTTCAAAATGTAGTCAGCATCATCCATTGATCAAGAGAAGAATTATTATAAAGAAAAGCCATCATGGGTAACTCCACACATATTCATGGGAACATAAAGAACAGCACAATGTAATATAGGCCTATTCTCACTTCAGAAGTTTAACATCAATAAACCTCACTTCCAATCTGCAAAATGGAATCAGCAGGCATGACAACACACACTCAGTAACATCCTTCAGTTGACTGCCACTGATCCTTCTTGCAATTCCTTCATTGTCTCGGGTGTGATCAAGAATCGGCCATTGTGAGTACATCAATTCCATCCATAGCGATCATAAAGCACTTCTCATTAATGCTATCCCAATAAACCTATAATTTTCCTCTTGTTAACATGATATACCTGCAGACATGGCATCACTTAATCAAGTGTGATATCTTGAAACTGGCAAATCTGAATGGGGACCTTCAGCTTGATAAGTGATATAGGTAAGTGATTCCTGTCTGAAATGTGACTTTCTGTGAAACAAGTCCCTCAATAACCTGTTAACCTAATAACCTAATAATAATAATAACCTAAAAAACCTGTTATTAGGTGAACAGAGCCAACACCACATGAAGATCGGTCAGTGAATTGATTTTATACAAAATGCTCTGCTTCTAATTAAATGAGTGGAAGAGAAGATGCAATAGGTTTTCCAAACAGAACTTCCTGTCTTTAGAAGATATTCATGAAACACTGAAAGAAGCTTTCCTCAGCGCTGGATTGAAAGATGTGGACCAATTACCTAGCCCCCAAGACCCGGCCCCCCAGCAATTTTGGTTTGTGGGGGCATTTGAAGTAGCTGGTGTACCAGGAGTCACACAAGGATCTGAACTCACTCCAGAAGGTCATTAAAGCAGCTTGTGCTTCCCTGACTCCTGATTTTTTAAAAGAAAAGTTTGCTTTGTTTCAGGAAGAGGCTGAATCTGATAGTTTAAAATGGTGGGGTGCACATCGAGAGCTTCAATCAATGCAGAATTGCTAAAGTAATTTTAGTAAAATTTGATGACATTCCCCGTATACATGCCAATTTTTGCAGAGTTCCATCAAATGATGCTTGAATGGCACAAGTTTACTTTCGGGGCTTTAATTTTGAGACACCCTGTATATCATATATTTAGGCTGATTCACAAGCAGCATAATGAAATATACCTTGCAGTGTGGCTAACTCTTCTCCCAGAAAAGTAAATACTTGCATCTAATTTTACTTCCACTAAATAAACTCAACTTGGAAGCCAGCTCAATTTTTTTTAACATAACTAGCCTAACATTGACAGCACATTTTCAAAAGTGCACTTCCATTGCCTTAACCTGAACTTGCACATCAGTACTACAGCAATGTGCTTCCCATACCAGTACGACCACACCAACATGCCATAAACCATATATCATTGCTGGCATTCCAAAAAATTAAGCAACAGGTTTTGGCTATTTTTATGCAATACACTCAAAAATATACAAGGTTAACTAACTTACCCATAGGTACATAGGTCCATGACTGTCCCATGTAGACCAATTGGTCCATATCAGATCACTTCTACCTCTCTTTAAGATGAGAACATGGAACACCCTGAAGTTGGTAGGTATTGCATATTGTAATAAAAACAGTTCTTTAATCATTGTTTGAGGAGGATGATTACATCTAAATTGCATATCTTAAATGATTCCAAGAGAGTTCAAAAATGATCCTATTGGGAACTGTTTTGACTGCAGATGGGTGATATGTACATGGGTCATCTCAAAAGTTCAAGAACATTCTATTCTACATCAAGTTGAAACACTTACATTATAAAGGTTTACAAAAGATTCCAAGAAATGTAGCTCCTTTCCATTGATAAGAAAATTTTCTCAAGAGGGAGAAAAGAACTAACAAAGCTTGAAAAATACTCTGCACATGGGTACTGCCATTCAAAGAAAAAACTCAGCATGTGAAGGATTAAAGATGAGACTTTTTTTTTTACATGCATAGACTTCATTGTTTCTTAAAAAATAAGAAGTACCATTCAGTTTTGCTCAGCCAAACCAAATGTAGCTATTATTCATTCCATGAGAACAGCTACATGAATGTAAACCTCACCTGAGTGCCCTTTACAGGCCACAGCATCTGCATGGGTGTGATTCTCACAGACAGGACATCAAAGCCTTGTTCAAGGTAAATTTTGGCATATTTTGACATGTGCTTCTCTTTGGACATCAGCCAGCCAAGAAGCAGCAGAAATGGCTGCTCATCAGGCTTCCAGGTTTCCCTCAATCGCTCAGCAGCTGGGATGAGTTGGAAAGCTGAAGTTGCAGTCTTCTTAGAGTATAGCTGCCTTGCACCAATGCCAACATGAACAGCCCTCTACAAGGTAATGAAAGGAAGACAGTTTTGGTCATCCTACCTCCTGCATCATGGAAAATTTTCCAGAATCATCTGACTCAAGCTTTTATACGATATCAGACAAGAATAACCAACAAATAACAGTTAAAAGTTTTGCATATTCATCATCTACTGCTGCAGCCTGACAGGCATGAAGTGAACAGTGATAATGCATTTCAAGCTTGATGCCACAGTGAGCACTTATGTTCTAATTTTTTTTGTAATGAAAAGGAAGTGGCACAGCAATACCCTGCACAGGCAATTTCTTCCAACACAAGGTTCTCAGGTAGGGTTCCCACCCAACTTGAAGCATTCAAAAGCACTTAAAACAGAACATAGATTAGAGAGACTTAATTCTAATATCCAGATGGCAGTTTCATGTCTTGCAGGAATGATATAATCAAATACATAAAAGTCTTCTGAGATATTCCAATAACATCAAAATCCTTGCAAATCAGAACAAAAATAACATCCCAGTCACCCCTAGGTCTTATGGATTGTGAGATGGTATGAGGGCTTCATGGAGTTCTTAGATTAGTGCAAAAAAAGGAAGGCAGGATTTAATGCTTTGCTAGCCCATTAACCCATTCACTATGGAGTTTTCATTGCAGAATTGCTACCATGTTCTGATCTTCCAAAAAAAGCACCTCTATCAAGTAAATTATAATTAGCTAATTAGAAACCAAAAATCTTCATAACAGATCTACAAAAGGAGATAAGAAAAGGAAAAGGAAAGCATAGCTATGCATTTGCATCATCATAGTCAGAGATCAATCATATTGGCATAAAGCAACCCATTTGGTATATTATCAACTAATGTCTTGCAGCATTTTAGTCAGTCTTCATCTACTTCAATGGTGTTAGTGTTACACTGTACAATTCAGTTCTTTTTTAACTCAAATTAACTATGAAAGTTTTTTATCCCAAGACTAAAAGTATTTATGTGTCTTTTTGGAGGAACACACACATTGTGATGTGACATTTGTTTTGTCTTAGATGGTTAATGGTCCTTCCATGGATCAACTTAGGTCCTGATTAGATCAAGGCAGAGTTCAGTATAAAAAAAAAAACTAAGGAAAGAGACTGTATTTTGCATCAGCTGAAGGGAAAACTTCTTAAACCCTCTTCATCAACCCACTTATCTCTTTCTGTCCAGCAGGTTATGATGTGAGATAAAAATGGCAGACATACATGACCATCTTGTTTCTTATTTTCCAAAGAAAGCAATGCATGCATGAGACTTAACAGAAGTCTTTTTGCAACAGAAAAAAGCAGATCTGGAATTGGCCACAAATTTTCAGTAGTATACTCCTATGCAAATAAAAAAAGGTAAAGGTATAGTCAATTTTTGAGTACACTTCAGCATAATGAAGAGGATAATCTTTTTTTCACTTAAATGCCTCTTTTTGTCATACATAACATATAGTAGTCATGCTATTCTCAAAAACCCTAGGCTAACAAAGAACAAGGAAACTCACCTGTGAAATAGCTGTCATGTGAGAAACAGATTTCCGGGCTATATGCCCCCAAGGAGGGATCATAAATTTGCTGATGAGAGTCATTTTCTGCAGACTGTATCCATCCAGAATACAAAAATATGTGGGGAAAAGTAGGTTGCTAAAGAACCAAAATATCCAATCATCTATATGAGCTTATAACCTGGGCCTCTCTGACAAATTATTTTTCTGAAAAGAGAATTGGATATGATTGGCCCTGCCAACATGGCATTCTGACTTCCATCCTTAATTAAACATCAAACCTAACTGAACGTCTAACGTTAAGTCTACAGTAACCTACTGGCCAAACTTCAGGCCTAAGGCAGCCTAAGCTCTAACATTTGGGCAAGGCCAAGCCTGCAATAAGCCTAACGTTCGACCTTAGCAATTGCGACATAGATGAGAGACTTCACTTGCTGCCATGAGGGAAACCAGATAAGAATATTGAAGAGTCTACGCTATCCTGCTCAACAAACTTTTTAACTCTTTGAGTGGGAGTAAAAGTAGAAGATTCAGAACTGCTCCATATGACATATTATCGGAATTGTTAAAGTCCACCTCCACGACTATTCATGTAGGCCTACGAGTGAAAAAAAATTGATGACAAAACGTGTCACAAAGCAGCTGAGGGCGTCCTTACGATCCAAGGATACGCGCTCCTGCTCCATCTCATCGATATAGGATCCCACCGCTTTCACAATCGGGATTTACGCTCCCTTGTGAATAAGGAAAACTGACTCCGAGTAGGTCTAGATAATGGAAGAGAAGAGGGGATCGCAGTGTACTAGGTGGGCACTCCGCCTTAGGAAGGTGGGATGGATGGAAGACCTACAATGCCAGGTGGGGATATTGCTTATAGAGGGCGGCCATGGGATACACAATTGGGATTCTCCCAGATATAAGTGAGGGGCATGAACCGAGCGACCTTGTCTCCGGGCCCGCATTCCACTACGCATGGAAAGAGCGGGAGCGCAGGCACAGATATGGGAAAGCAGAAGCACTTCGTCTTCATTCTACTGCCGACTGCGCATTTAAAAGCCCTCCTCGACACCGGCTCTCACGCGCTCAGCACGTGAGCAGTGCCTGCATAACAACTCGATCGATTGTAAAAATCTAAAGAATGATTCGAAAGGGTCCCTTTATACGGTCTCTTTATTGGGTCCACGAATTCTGCAACAATATAATACGCTGATTTTTTTTTCCTGTTTGTGATGTGTTTTTTTTTTCTTTGTTGCAAGTTAAGGGGTTTTTTTATGGATTTGTTGAACACGGAACATTGGGGGGGGGGGGGGGAAAAAAAAAAAAAAAAAATTTTTGGAACTTCTTTTTTCATTATATGATCTGCAATATTTTGTAGCTGCTCAACGTGCATTCAGGCGAGGAATTGTCTGGCCTGCGCGATCACCAGACTTTTAATTTCTTTTCGTGGGGGCATTGTAAGAGCCGTGTTCACCAAACTCGACCTCGAAATGCAGAAGAGTTGAAAAAAAAAGCATACGGTAACTCATCATACAAACACTAATAGCAACAATGAACAATGTTTTCATATGTTACAGAGAGTGTGTTAACAGGAATGGTGGTCGCCTTGATCAAATAATTTCCACATTTAAAAAATGCATTTTTTTATGAAAGGTAAAAATAAAATTTTTTAAGCTCAATTCTTCAAGTTAGTTTAAGTTTCATTTTTGTTAAGTGTAATTTCAATTATTATTTAAAAAATGATTGCACAATTTGTGGACCACCCTGTACTTAGCAAGTACTCGCCTTGTTTATACTACTTGCTAGCACTCGCTACGAATTTGAAAGATATCTAACTGCAGGTGAGTACTCGCTAGCAAGAAGCAATCTAAAGCCAACCTGAACGATGGACAGGGATCAATGTGATTGCCTCTTGGATGAGTCCAGGATGCATCCATGTCACGGATGCATCCTGGACTCATCCGTGTCACGTTCGACGCCGGAGTGACTGCAGCCCGCACAGTTTCAACCAGTGGCAGCTCGCGGTTCGAAATATCTGGGGAGACCAGGGCATGGAGGCCGGAATTTTTCGCTTTGTGTCAATTGAGAACGAATCCAATGATTCTCAGAAATTTCTTTCCGATATTTTATATCTAAAAAATGGATATCTTCAAATTGTACAGGAAAGGGTAACCTGAAAATTGTTTTGGAGGCCGGGCCTCCCTTGCCTTCCCTTGCCTTCCCTTGCCTCCTCTTGCCTCCCCTTGCCTCCCCTTGCCTCCCCTGACGAGCCGCCACTGGTTTCAACCCTCAAAGAACAGATTAAACTAACCTTCTCCTCACCCCCCCCCCCTCCCCTTCCAATAAAAAAATTAAAATAAATAAATATAAATAGATAATAATAATAATAATAATAATAATAAAGCGAATAGATGGCTGTTTTCTTAATAAACGATCGTGACTGCCTCATGTTGATTACATGTATGCTCCAGATATGATTCGGTAAAACCACCTAAGTTCGGACACTCTAATGTTTATTGTTAATAAAAACGCATTCGCGAGATCGATATCAGAAAGAGTTATTCTTAACCCAAGATGACCATTTTACAACGCGAAAGTCTTGCGGCGGTCACGATTTCGAAATATCGGGCAGAAATGAGTGTCACGTCGCGGACAGGAGAAATTCAAGAAAATTATGTTGAGCTCCAACTTCATTTTTTTCGCATCTAAGTTCGGACAGCCAAGTAATAGGAATTATTGGAAGCACTTGAACAATTTTTACAACTGTCTCGTCACAGAATTCCGGCGGGTTTTGCTACAGAATTGGCTGGGAAACTTTGTAGGAAAAAAAAAAACTGGACATATTTTTCTGGATGTGAAGAGGGAAATGGCTAAATACGATCCTTGCACTGTTATAGATCCTGTATTTATAATAATCGGTTTCACACCATCCTCGCTCAAAATCTGAGCCCATTCATATGTACCTGTAATGTGAAATTGACAAATGGTTTAGAACAAATGATGGCATTCGGAAATGGAAATTGAAAGAACTTTCAAGTTCTCTAAATGGAAAGTTTTCAGTGCATACCTGAGCAATTAATAAGATCAAAATCCTGCTGAAATCATGAGATCTCCTGTGCAAACAAAAATCATGAGATCTCCTGTGCTTATATTGCCATTCCCCCCCCCCCCCTTTCTACAGCTATCCTTCAATTTGTGGTATTTTCTCTCTTCTTTGTATTTCATTATTCGTGCTTGTATCTTGGCGCGAATTCTGATCATCTTTTATGATAGCTGATCTTTGTATTTGGCTTGATCAAATAAAGAATCGGAAGAAAAAGAATTATTGGAAGCCATAAGGCTTCGATGTTGCTCAACGAGCGACTTTTCATTTCCACTTCATTCTGCATCGGTCACCCAAGACATTGGCTAAAGGGATTCCTACCGTATCTGGTACTATGTGTTCTCTTAGGCTTTTTACGGTCGGATCTGCTCGGCATTCCCTCGAATGAGATGTCATATTTTTGCAAGGGAGGAAGAAGTCAGGCTGGGGGGGGATGTTTTTTTTTTTTCTCTTCCCTTATTTCCTGGTCCTCAGTCGACCAGGAGAATCCCCCAAAATGCTGCGGGGACCCAGGTCGCCACTGCCTCCTCCACTTCTGGGATCCCGGGCATCACGTAGCATCCCCACGAGGACCGACCATGATCGATCCCCATTGCTAATCGGAAATGCGAGGAATGCGGGAACGAGTTAGGCTCTTCTCTCCGGTCCAACTGCGCTACGCCGGTATGTCTCCCTTCGCTCTGACGAACATGGAAGCCGTTGCATCATACAATACAGCATAACTACCATAAAGTGACTATCTACGAGCAACTCCTCTATCGAATCGGAAGTATCCATTTATTTTGTGTGTGTAGACTATGTAGACCTCGGAATGCCGTCACGTCTTTCCTCCTTCCATTTTAGCGGCGAGCTTAAACTCAGACAAGAGTAGAGAAATTAATTCTGAGTCACATCAAAGTGAAAGTAGAAAATATATGACGCCATTCTGAGGTCTACATAGTCCGTATACACACACAAAATAAATTGTTACTGCAGAATCAGAAGTAAAAAAAGTTGCCCATGGAGAGTCACTTTATGGACACCCTGTCTAACTCCTCCCTCCTCCCTCCTCCCTCCTCCCTCCTCCCTCCCCCCCCCCCCCCCCCCCCCCCCCCCCCCCTCCCCTCGATTGATATGGCACGATCTCGGAGAACTTACATTCCATATCATGATCTTCATTGTCTGAGCAAATGATTCAGATTTCCTTGTGGTTTTCTCTTCGTGGAAGCCTGTCGATTGGATTGTCGATTTCCATGCAGCGCGCGTTTCAAATATGTATATTTATACGCATGCATATTTATATTTAAAAGCACATGGACACATATAAAAACAAATTAATCAGCTCTGAAAAAAAATTTTTACCGAATTTTTATCAACACTTTTCCTTTCCCCACCTTCGCGACGCCAAAGTCGCAGTTCCTGCCGTCAGGCCAACGCAAAGGCGTGTCTAGGGAATCGCGATGGGCGACGTAAATTCGCACAGAGTAATGAGATGAAAACTTGCACGAAGGGGGATTGCAGGTAAATTACTCATAATTTTCTCTTCGTTCGCCGAACAGCGGAACGTACTCGCCATTGGCGAATACGCGAGTGGGAATTTCATAGGCTTGAAATAAACATAATAAATAAATAAATAAAATATGTATATATACATATTTATATGTACGGAAGGGTAACACACGATGGACCTTGAGGCAGGATGAACCACACTTTTCGGCACCTCGAGAATCCAAGCTGTCGTCGAGAAACTCACAATGAATAATAAACCGCAGGAAGTTCACTGAAACGCTCATTTGCCTTCACGTGTTTTCGTTTTCTTTGCGATGAGGTTTCCGGGTCAGAAATGGACGCTTTTTGCCTCTCCCGGCGACAAAGTCTGCTGGGAAATGAGAAAGAACCCAAAAAGAAGCACTTCTGTGGCGGCCGAGTGAGAATGCGAGTCGAGGGCCCTCTAGGAATCCATCTCGTTTTCATCATTGTCTTTCCGGATTCTAGGTCGACAGTGATAAGCAGACGGAATGAGATAGGAGTGGTGGGACTCCGATGGCAAGTGTCGCATAAATAGGTCCCAGAGTTGAGCCACCTGGGAACGTAATGATGCCATGTGATATGAAGTACGGGGTGGGGCGAAAGTTGGGGTCCCGATCATCGATTGGATTCTCGATCGGGAAACGTGAGACTTTTTTTCGCTTCGACGGGACTGACACTGGCGAAAAATATCTCCAACTTTTGACAGGCACTGTTACACATTACAGCAGTCCTTCACATTACACATTACAGATGTCTCGACGAGTCGGAGCACCGACACATTACAGCCAAGCTGCACGCAAGATCTCCGACGGATCGGTCCTGGATCCGTCGACGGGCTCCATCCGGACGGCAAGCAAGCCCATGGACTTCTTCGAGGAAAGGGTTTACGGCGAGGATGACTGGGAGTGTTCGTGACTCCGGAGTTTTATGCTAGGCGAGAGTTCGAAAAAGGTTCTGTAGCTTTAATATTATGTCGATGCGGAAGGGGGTTGGGCATGAGCATTGTAACAACATTGCAAAGCAAAGAAATTTTTATAATAATTATGCTAAACTTCCTTTCCCGCAGCGTTATTTTCCTCCATTTCCAAGAAATTTCAGGAAAATGTGAAAATTAATTCATTATGAAATTATGTAAAATTAAATAATTAAATCCAGGAAGAAATACAATTCGCGCAACTATATTTTGCCCCACCCTGTATAATGGAACGGTGACCAAACCAGGGCATTCTACATTCGCATATTCTGTATTTGCACACGATCGATCTCATAAGCCCTCATGAAATCGATCCTCGAGGATCACGAGGACATGATATCATCTTTTTGGATGATAATACGGAAGCTTAAATCGTGAATAATTATTGTCACAAAACCACCTTTGTTTGCAAGAAATTCGAAAAAAAAATTCTTCCGCGAAATGGTTAACTAAATTTTGAGGCATTAAAATTGCAAAAATTGTCCATGATGCCGCTTTCACTTCTGTTCTTTTTTGTGGACAGACGTTAGCGGCTGCAATCGGTGCTCGAATAATCATTTCCTGCTCGTGGGAAATACTTTCCCATCCGTTCTACTCGATCAAAGACTTTTCTGTACCTTTTTTTTCTCAGGAACGAGAAAAAAGCATCTTCGAGGACGGAGATTCCAGTCGACGGAAACGCTCCGAGCCGCGGAACATGCGATCGGCGGCGTGGACGAAGGGAATCGGAAATCGAAAATCTCCCCCCCCCCCCCAAAAAAAAAAAACCGTTTGAAAAACGCAAAGTGAAGTACGAAGTGTTTCAATCTCTTCCGAGAACAACTCCGCAACAGCGGATCCAATTCCCAGGGGAAACAAGCGAGTGGCAATGCGTGGAACTGTCTAGCGCGCGTTCCGTCCTGATGGAGAAAACAATCAAGACGTGTGATGACGTTGCAAACTGCCGGCATTAGCATGTCCTTGGGGACATGCTAATGCAGCTGTGCCGTGTCGAAAGGCATCTTTGAGCATGGGCAGAGATGTCGTAGCCGTGACCTTCCCATATAAGTCGTTACCCCCTCGTTCACCGATATTTAACCGCTTTTTCCCCTAATCTTTACCTGAAGGGTCTTCTAACAGGTTAAGAAAGGGGGATTTTTTTTTCTTATTTTTTTACCTCAGTTTCACCGTCCCAATTTTACCTCAGGTAAACACTTTTTTGTAACGGTCGAGAGGCGTGTTTGGTCGACTTGAGGGAACACTCAAGAACGCTTCCAGTCGTAAAAATGTCTGGACGAGACGGTGAACAATCGACACGCCACAGGGACCACGGCGTAGGCTCCTTCGTCTGCGGGAGTCTCGAACCGCTGTAGCGGAGTTCTTGGCTGGGAGAAAAGTTTCACTAAAAGCGCTTTATTCTGAGGAGTCACGACTATACGCATGCCGACCGATATGCGTTGCACACCTTATACAGCGCCGTATGGTGGAATACTTTTTTTTTTACTGCTGTCATTCAAATTCTCGTGATGAAACTTTTGAGCTCTTAAAAAAATTAATTTCTGACGACCTTGGTACACGGAAGCGACCGGCTCCCATTCAATGGCCGGACACCGACTGATGCTTGGCATTTCAATGGCTGGACATCAGCTGACTCTTGGGAGTCGAATGGTGAAAGGAATCGGCCATCCCCGATTGGACACTTCGACCCTGGACAAACTTAAGCAGCCGAGGAAAGCCTATGCACTAGGGCGATACGAGGGGCGTTGACAAACGTCTTCATTTTTGTGTCTACTCGTGGAGGACGCTGAGACGCGGCCCAGATGAAGCAGATGAAGCAGATGAAGCAGATGCAGCAGCAGAAACGGAGGCTGCGAGAGGGCTGAAGAAGATTGAGATCGCTCGAAGCAATCACAACGATCGTGCTCCAAAAACGAATCTTTCTTTTCGTATGAGCATTGGGGTGGTTCAACTTTTGATCATCGTACCATTGTTCGCCGAATGACTCTGGCCGTCTGGGAAGTGAATGCGAATGCGAACGGTACGTGACGAACCGAAAGACTGAAAAAAAAAGGGTGAATGCACAGAAGCGCGATGACTGGAATAAAAAGACGGTTTTTAAATCATCTGAAGGTCGAATAAAGCATTTTCCCCAATTTTTCTTTCCGATGGAATCTGCAGCGGATGGACCTGTACTGCGTCTGCCACATTCAGTACCTGAGCCGTACTGCGCTTAGCTTAGAACAGTTGTGCTTTCATTTTCGGTCGGTATGATGCCGCTGCTATTCAGTCCTCATCGGCAATGATTTTTTTTAGGGTGCCGGCAGAATGTTCAGAGATCGTTTTGGATTCAAAGGTTGATTGCTTGTGACCAACCCCGAAATGGTCGTGTTGGCATGCGTGCCCCCAAAGGTACTCGATTGCAAGAACTTCTGGAAAATAATGCTTAACGTGAAGGTCCTTGGAACTTTTGGAGGAAAAGAAGCCCGGCAAAAAGTTCCGGCTGGAAATATTACTGGTTTTACCCAGTTTGTGATGGACTTCTCCAGCAGGCGGATTGCGTGCAGGAAACACAGGAACGTAACAGGTTCCAATTGGGAATTAGAGGGTAGGCATTTTCCTACAGGAAAAGCAGAAATCCAGCAGAATACAGCATGGGATCCAGTTGGAAATGGTATACTAATTTACAACTAGTTCTGGTGGGAAATGCTGCAGTTCCTGGTGGAAGTGGCACACATTTACTGATGGAAAACTTGCTGTTTCTAGCAGGAACTTTTTTGCTGGAAGCCTAAGCACAAGTATGGCACACATGTACTTAAGAACACTCTTGGCAAATAATAATAAAGATACTTATGCTTAATCCTTGGCACGAATATCCAATATCCTTGAGTAAAGGTGCAAAGGGGAAGACTGGAAATGGATGGAGTGAAAAAAAAAGAGAAAAATTTGAGCAAAACGGATTGGAGCAGCTCGAGATGGGATGAAATGGCATATACAGGATTGGACAAGAGATACACGACTTTTAACGAAAAAAAATGTCTGCTCCCGCTGCTGCTACAAGGTACGGTCAAACGGAAGCGGTTCGTGTGGCGTTTGCCTGCTGGTGCCTGCTGAATAGCTTTCATTTTGCAGTATCTCGAACAATCGCGAAACTTGCACTGCGCATAAGCTGATATGCTGCATGAGGACGAAGACCTATGAAAAAATTTCATCTTGCCAACCTTTACGGAACTTCCAAATACAGGCGTATGTATAGGATTGTACAGTACTGAATTTAGCCATGTTTGGAAACAGTTCAGTCCGTATCATGTTTTGGCCATTCTTAATAAATATGGAACTACCTGTATATATGGTTCATATTCAGACCTCCATATATGGTGCTAGGTTTGCAATGTATATGACACAAATATAAACTATACGGAAAAAATTCTGTATTTAGGATATATTTGGAAACTGTTCAGTCCATGTAATATCCATGGATGCACACGCATGCACGTTGAGGCCTTCCATATGGCCTGACATCTAGCAGTTTGTTCAATAAATATAAAGTTTTCACAATGTAAGCGAGGTCGCGTTTATCCCGCCGCTATATGTCTCCCGATTCTCCAAATGCAGAATGGTTCTGCAGAAGCTTCCACCTTCAACTCACTAATTTCCCACGTACAAACCGAAGGAATGAAGTCGTTTTAATCGATGCATATATTGAAAGACGTAACCTAGCTTAAGGAGACTCCAGGTAATTCTTGCTCAATGCATAGAGGGAGTGAGTCACCCTTGTGAAGTGAGTCACAAAAACGCCTGTCAAAGTTTCGTTGTGGAATGACTGCATCTGAGCCTCTGCCTCAATCTGCCATTAATAATGCATCTACTGTATATTGCAAATTAAGAACCGTATGAGGGACCTGTATATGATAATATTAATATATAGGTACATACATCCAATATATTACATATAGCCAAAAAAAAAACAAAATTGTTATTTGTTCCATATGCATTGCAACTAAGCACCATATATGGGGCTTATATATGAACCATGTAAAGCTCCATATTCAATAAGAATGGGCAAAACATTATATGAACTGGACGGCTTCCAAAAACAGTCTCCCATATATAATTTTAATTTGTACCATGTACATTCCGAGCAAAGAACCCCTGTATGGCCATATTTGATATCGCGCATGAAATCTGAATTTGGAGTTCCCGTAAGGGTTTATATACCGCTACTGTGGAAGGTTCGAGAAAGTTCCAGAAATTTTTTTTCCGGAAAATTCTCGAAACGGCCAGAACTTTCCGATCGACCCAATAGCTTGGGAAAATAAATTTGACTCAAGATGGGATACGTAATTAACTGAAATTCAGCAGTTTTGCTGGTTTTGAAAAATAAAAAATACACATTTATTATGTGCATACAGTACGTGCTTTCAAGTAAATGATACAATTTTTTCAGAAATATATGTAAATTAGTTTAAGAGATACAGCAAATTGAAAGTGGTGGAAAACAACGTTTGGCAAGTCGCCCTTTTAAGAGCCCTCGATTTATGATTTTTTTTCTCCGAAACTATTGCTGATAGAGAGGTATATAAGTTACCATATTTTATCACTTGGATGGGAGGACCATGTATATATTTCTTTAAAAAATAGAAGACAATGACCTGACAGGCCCTGCCTGATTTGAAATGAAACCACCCTCCCATATATGACACAGGAATTGGTCCTGAGTATGCGCAGATTATCCTTAGGGTATATTCGAATTTAGGTGCGGTTGGAACTGGGATCGTGTACATGACGGTCGAGAAGTAGTTCTTCAGGGCAACCTGTGTTAACTTTGAAAGGCAAACGAACTGTGAATTGTTTCACCATGCATGGCATTCTTCACGATGAGAACAGAAACCCCAAGGCGAAAATATGACGGCGCAATGTGAGGTAAACCAACGGAGATCCTTCGTATGGCTCCTATAGGTCACTGAAATGCTTCTGCAAATCAAATTAAGCGTCATTTGAAAAAGAGTGGCCATACTCTTTATCTATTGCTCTGGACTGTCTCACTGCCCACCGAGTTCAAATCGACGTCGGACGTCGTCCTGAATCACCATGAATCAATGTACGTAATGTACATGGACCGTGCGTCCAAAGTAGGTCACATCGATCGGCATGTCACCGACAACTGTGCAAGTCTCACGCCTTTTCACTAAGGCTGCATAAAATATTCAAACATGGAGGATGATAACAACATGCAAGCAGGATCACTCATAAATCCAAAAGAAGTCCAGCATGACATCCAACGATCGGATAACTGTTTTCCGTCTCACAGGGGCGTCACGAGCCGCCATTGCCTCTTACCGGTTTATGGACAATTGCAGAAAGGGCACATGTCTCATTGTACAAATCGAGAAATTTATTTTGTCAACTTGTTTTTGACGAAAACCTCCCGATTATGGCTGCTTGGTGGAGAAAAAATACTCGGAAAAATTAGAATCGGCTAAGGAAGTCATGTTTTCTCCACACTCCAAACTGACAGGAACTTCGAAACTAGTGGTTCAATTCTGTGTCCTTTGAGCTTTGAACGTGCTAAATTTCAGGCGAATAGTTTGGCATTGGAAGGGTTTGAAGAAAGGGAACAGGCGCATAGGACCTCTGATTCCACCAAATCTTTGGTTTTGAGTTTCAGGTGATGACTAAACTATTATTAAGAGAACACCTTGTAGAAATGTCGAAATAAGACGAAGTTTACTCATGCATCTGGAGAGCTGAAGGATTTAAGACTGTTGATTCGATACCTCCTTGAGCGTCTACTCAACGAATTTCTTTCAAAAAGGAAAGGGGTCGTTCATGGTTGGGAATTCTCTGTGTGCGCTTCCGCTTCTGTTTCGACGATGACTCAGATTTGGAATGATCACTGTGAAAAATGGCATGTAATCGTTATGGACCGAATTCGGTGCCAGTTAAATGTAAGCAATTAAATATTTTTATTAAGAACTTATATTCGACATTTTCTCGTTGCGAGAAAAGACTGGTCAGACTTCAGTAGCCTGGATTACGACGCAATGCGCATGCGCAACCCTCATTCATGGCCGGGGTGTCGTGTCGCCAACTTTAGCTGCTAGCTTCTCCTTCCAGCCTTCCAAGCTGATAGATCTGTAGCTGACCAATCGAGATCGAGGCTGCACATGGCGAAGGGAGAAAGGTTTTTAGATGAACTCAATATCCATCGGGCGACCTTTCACGTTGTATTTTCCTCATGCTCTCAAGCCTAACGTAGCCGCTACGTCCTGTTCGCGAGGCGCAAGGAAGGACTGCAGATCACTGGATTGGATTTTTCTTGCTTCTTATTAGAATATTATAGCATCTTATTTTTTTTACTTCTTTGCGGAGCCTGGAAGAGAGTGATTCAGTAATATAATCCCCGACTGGAAGGAGGAGGTCAGGATCCAAGGAGGACAGGACCCACGTCGACGTGCGAGGGAACAAGCCTTCCTTTTTCCAGGATGATTGAAAGTAATCCAAAAGCAGAAAAAAAAATTTTTAAATGGAAATGAATAATAAAATTGCAAATAGGGATTCGACTGAGTCAAAGGAGACAGATAAGCAAACAATGAATGGATACAAATCGAAAAGGAGGAGGGATAAAAACTATAAGGGCTGGACTGAAAAAGGTGGGGGGAGAAGTCACCAACAAGGTTAAGTTTAGATTTGAGAAGCACAGTCAATGGGGTCAAAATATAAAACTAGGAATAAATACCAGAAGAATGTCTCGTTACATGTTACGGAAAGGGCGAGCGCACACAAAATGAGGAGCATGATGGGAACCCCATAATGACTTTGAGTTTGAGACCTGGAAGGAAGGGGCAACCCGACGCATGGTTTCAGTATTAGGAGTAGCTTATCATCCCTCTCTTCCATGGTCTTGATTGGCAACATCAATTAGATTCTTGCACCACCATGCATTAATTGAAGGTAGTCAGGCTGAGACGGAAACGTCGCAGACGGCTTACAACCATCATTCAATTTCCCCTATGTTTATACGGCAGGACGATCTTCTATATATCTATCATCTACGCCCTGGGAAATCTGACCATCTCTCTCTCATCGGCTCCCATCGATGGATATCCGCAAACGTGAGCATCTACATTCGACGTTCTCATCATTGCTACAAATGAGAAATGTGTACTATTTTCGACAATCTCTCGATGGATGATACGTAAGGGCGCTATCGATGGTGGGGTTGCTGCTGATTGCTATGGGTACCGGAGGGATCAAGCCTTGCGTGTCGGCCTTCGGAGGAGATCAATTCGTCATCCCGGGTCAAGAAAAGCAACTGGGACAGTTCTTTTCTGCCTTCTACTTCGCCATCAACGGAGGTTCCCTCATCTCCACTTTCCTCACGCCCATCTTGAGGGAGGATGTGCACTGCTTCGGGGATAAATCCTGTTTCCCTCTCGCCTTCGGCGTTCCTGCTGCCCTCATGATCACCTCTCTCAGTAGGAATCATTCCTTTCACCTCCCGTGAAACCGCACGACAGCAGCGGAGATGACAATTTCAATGCTATTTCCACCCCGAATATTAGTGATTTTCCTCCTGGGAAAACCCCTGTACAAGATAGTACCACCCAAAGGCAACGTCCTCATCCAAGTACTTGGCTGCGTCAAAGTATGTATTCACTCTTTACTCCATATTGTAAGAGGGGTGTTAAAAACATGAGGTGAGCTTCAGTGTGAATGCCCTAGTCATGGCAAAAGGTTGAACTTGCACATAAATATATAAGGATCTCGTATCTACAGTATAACGGGTAATATGACATTGCTCTGTAAACATTGCTTGTAGACCACCCTTCAGAGTCTGATTCATGATGCTTGTTTGTCTGCTAGTTTTTTTATTATTATTTATCTCTCAAGTGCAGCAGCAGCGTTTAATTTCAGTTTGTGGGAAAAGGAAGAGTTCGCGAAGTGACATATGAAACAGGCTTACGAGGATGATACATATGAGGAAAGTGGCACCACTTTCCACAGCTCAAGACTCGTAGAACGTCTTCAGAGAGGAATAATTCATCAAAATTTCCTGGAGAAACTGATAATGTAGACCTTACAAGGCCAGAAACTACCACGACTGATTTTAGTTCTGGAAACCGACGTAGCAGCCTGGAAAGTTTTCCCACTGAAACCCACCTCATTCCTTTTTTAAACACCTTTCCTAAATACTATACCTATTTTTCCGCCTTTTTCAAATTTGATCAGGTAGCTGCAGATTTCTGTGGCCACTTGCAGAATGGGCAGCAATTTTATCTAAACCAGAATATGGTCATGTTTATCTGTGAAAGGCTATCGCGATAGAATGTTGGATGCATCGTCTCTGATCGATATTCGTGCAGCACGCCCTGGGTCGAAGGTGGAAGTCCGGAAAGGAAATGAAAAAAAAACATTGGTTGGATTATGCCGACGACAAGTTCGACAAGAAACTGATCCGCCATACCAAGATCCTGATGGGTGTTCTCTTCCTCTACATCCCCTTGCCTGTCTTCTGGGCCCTCTTCGATCAACAGGTAAGATACAAATGTGTCTAAAATATGTGAACCAGAGAAGAGCTATAGTGCCTTGGAAGTGCCCCCATGGTGCATTTCCTGCATCTATTCGTAAGTTTCACAGGTAAAGGTAACATGACTGAAGGTTATGTTTGTCGCCTCAATTCCCAGCAAGCGATCACTTTGGCTTGTTCCGAAGACTTGATCGTCACCGTCTGGGATTGTGGATTGACATGGTCATGCAATTTGGAAAAGCACTGGCATACATGTTAAGGAAAATTCCTCGATATTCGTCAACGATCTGACAAGAGGGTGATGATGTGATTTAGAACCTTTCTGAAAGAATTAGCTTTTTTCAAGCTGAAGAATGATATTTGAAGAATGCATGCCTTTCCACTGGAGTACTGAGACTCTCAGTTTCCTGGTGTAAAGTGAAATAAGCTCAATTCTCATTCTTCAGTGGTTATTGGGCGATTGAATTGGGAGAATTCTTCCCTTCGTGAAAATTTTCAAACCAGCAGTGGCAAAGCCGAGAGGCATAGCATCTAGCATTTTCTCTGCTACCTTGGGCCAATATACTCTTTCAGGGGAGTCTCGTCCTGGAGCATGCAGCAGACGAATGCTCGTAACTGTAATTTGGTTCGTTCTAGCGATGAGCGATTCAGTGAGGGTGGGGATTCCATTCTTAAAAGTCGAGTTTCGTCTCTGGAAATGTCAGATGTGGTAACCAAGGTTTGCCAGGTTTCCCTAAAATTCCCGAAGTCCTGGAGATGCGGCTATCGATCTTGTTTACGTTTTGTCCATCACTTGAGAACCAGAGCCCTAGGAACTTCTTCCTCTGTTTCAGTGGGGGTCCTGACGTGTAGGGTGCACATAGCAGGGTTTTTCGAGAGAACCATGATTTTGGTCTTGAGGAAGCTAAATTTAATTCCAGCTGCATTGAATTCCGAGTTGAACCGGTCGAGACAGAGCCAAAGGGACGGCATCGTCGGTAAAGTGAAGCCTCCTTACCTCGACGGCGTCTATACAGATCCCTTTCGGGCCCATGCTGCTCTACAAATCCTGTTCACGTACACGAGGAGCGGGAAAGGAGAGAGAACGCACCCATGGTGGAGCCCAACACGCACAGGGAGAGTCATTTGCTCAACCTGTTCAATCGAAATTTACTGTGTAAAGATTGAATGGCCCGCAGTAGTCGAAAGTTAATTCCACACTCCCGCAGTACTCCTCCCACTAAAGAGTAATCACCACACTGATTTGCGTTCTGTAGATGTTCTCGATTCCCGCGGAGTATGACATCTTATGCAATCACAAGCACCCATCAGTGCCCATGCTTTCAACGTCTCTGCCCGGATTTCATTCACACTAGGAGACATCTCGTTCTTGAGACTAATGATACTCACGTAACCGACAGAACTTCCTCCATGACAACTTCTTGCGATTGGTGGCCTTGAGTTGAGTTCGTCAGAGTCCGCCGTGAGTGGATATAAAGAGCTCTTCATAATGTTCATCTCACCTCCAAAGCATTTCTGCTTCATCCAAGAGCCAACACCTCCTCGATTCGGTTTTTGACGAACCGCAGTGTACACTACCTGTCTTTCCGGAACCTTTGGACGGTTTGTTAGGAGACCTTCCAAGTGGTGCGGAAGTCGAATTTCATTTCCCGAAAGTCGTTTCAGCTTCCTTTTCTCTTCGGCTACAGTTCCAGCAGCATCTCTGGGTACATTTCTGTAACAAGCCCTGGAAAGGTGTAACTTACGAAACGTTAACGCCCCAAGCGCGGGCTTCTTGGCAGCAACAGCCCAACGTACTTCTGATGTTCACCAGGGAGTCCGCTCGGTGCTCACCGAGCGAACTCCCTGGGGGAGCACTCAGCTCCCCCAATACGCCATATGCCAAACGCTTTCGCTCCTGCAGGAGAAATGCCAGATATAAATAGATCCCATTCTATCTTTATAGTAGAAGTCTGGAGATGAAACTGTAAATATTATTCGTCAGTCACCCTTCCCAACTCGTGGAGTTCTTCAAAGCACAGCTGTATAACACGGGGCCACCTGCCTCAATTCTTTTGCAGCGCGCCTGACTTTCTGCTCTCCTTTTCGAATTTCGCTCGCATCAGGAACTTACTATGCATTAGGTGGTGATCGGTACTCCGTTCAGTCCAACGCTGAATGCTAAAACTTTTGAAAACTCAGTCTCTTTTAAATCATGTCTCTGTATTTCGTTAGAGGACATCCCTCTCCTTCACGTCTGCCTCCTTGTCTCTTGTTTCATGTTCAGTCTCCTTCTCTACCTCCCTGAAGAATTACTTGTGCCCAAATGGTTATATTTTTAATTTCCTTCCGTTTCTACTTCTTTTTTTTTTGCTTTTGCCCTTTTCGTCCGTTATCAGTGTTTTGTCTCTTTTCCTCATCCCTAGTGATTGGATGCGCAGAGTGTGTAGCGTTTGTTTTTCAGTTTTTACACGGGTAAGCATTCTATGCCGCGTTAAAGAGCAACTTGAATAAATATTTACCGCGGATGCATAACAATATGAAAACTGAAAATAGTGATTATGCCTCTATATGATTTTGGTTCATTATTTAGTTTCATTAACATATTACGTTCACATAGTACATTAAATATAGTATGATGCGTATTGTGCATGTAGATTATATTTTAGGCAAACGATTCAGACGATTGTGCTGACGTACAGACGTACTGTAGATGAATGCAAAGAAGGTGAGGAAGAACCTAAAGAAGGTTAGGTGGCCCTAGGCCCTGGGTTTTATTCGACCCACTTTGGTCTTTTAAGGGTTAAAAATGATTTTGGAACTCGGAGACACTTATCTACGATGTAGGGTTCGAGATGGACGCTGCAAGCAACGCGGATGAACGGGAAAATCGGGAGCTTCACGGTGAAACCGGATCAGCTGCAAGTGATAAATCCCTTGTTGGTCCTCATCCTCATCCCCCTCTTCCAATTCGGCGTATACCCGGCATTGGCGAAATTCGGCCTTCTCACCAAATCCATTCCCCGGATGTTTGTCGGCGGGATTCTGGCGGGAGTCGCCTTCGCCGTCTCTGGCCTCGTCGAACTTCAGCTTGAGGTTTGTGTAGGAAAAAAAATCAAGAGAATAGAAAAAAAGAAGAATAAATGTATGGATATCTTAGGAGATACCACATATGCATTAATTGTGCCACCAAAAATATGAATGCATTTGCTTGCTCTAATAAGTCTCTTTGTCTCCCGTAGCCCTGCGGTTAATTACAGCTAACAGGTTAAAAATTAGGAGGAAACAGAACGCACAACCCAGTTTAAAATTTCGGCTGGAAACGGCTATAATTTCCAGTTGGACCCCAGCTGTAAATTTCTACTTATTCCAACTGAGTAATAGCTGGGAAGTAAAAGTCAGATCCAGATTAGTTCATAGACATTACTGGTGGAACGAGAATGCATTTGTCGGATATTCTTGCCAGACGTCCATCTACATGAACAGCTGAATTCCAACTGCAAAGTCAGCTGTATTCCAGCTGGAGGGTCCTCTGTATAAGATTATAAATTTCCAGCTGGAAGCATTTATTAAAACCAGCTGCAACCTGTATCAACTATTTTCCAGCTTTTTGCAGCTGGTTATGGTCCGAATTAACAGCTTTTGACCAGCTGGAAAACTCCAGTTGGGATTTTAAACTGAGAAGGGCTGCAGATCTGAGTAAATAAAAGAATACAAAGTAAGAACTCCAGGATAAAACCAGGAAAGTGGCAATAGAGTATTTCCAATTTATCATTTGACATATATTAGGTCTGGGAAAAAGTATCCGGAACTTTTAGTGGGTTAAGGGGTTCGTGCCGCACCGCCTATGCTTGTTCTGTCGCTATGTTATATATATGAAAAGAAAGTGGCTTAAAATCTCTGTAAAATTGTGTATAATTGCCTTGTATAGCTTTTAGGCAAAAGCTTTTTCGCTTGATTGAAAAATGCGGTTCGACGACCACATCTGTCATCGCTTATTTCTCCAGTCCGATAAGGGGCGCAACGCGAGCGACGCGGTCCTTCGCATAAAGAATGAAGGTGTACCCCGATGCCTGTTTAAGCAAATCCACGGCATACGAATGGTTTCAGTAGTTTTCACGTGAAGATCGAACTCTTCAAGATGAACCCCGTTCTGGACGCCCATTTGCAGGCAGACATGGTCTGGTGCGGATCATCTTCGATCATGGACTTAGCGAATCGTCATCGTTGACGGATGGGCGTTCAGAACGGGGTTCATCTTGAGGAGTGTTACTTGTTACTTTTCCTGATAAGGTGAACGAAATCCGCTCATATCAGTATGTTATCATATTTATCAATTTTAAATGCTTTTTTAAATATATATTTCTGGGAGTGATGCTGGAGAGCATGAGACTGTTACCAATACCTCTCAAAAGAGGGCCCTTTCTGGAATTTGTTTTTCATTCCGAGTCTGAGATTGAGTCGGTTCTTTTTAAATTTCTAAATCCTCGAACCACACCTCAGGAAAATTTACCGATAAAGTGCCTATGTAGTGGCGCACTTTTCAGAATCTGGAAAAAAGGCACAGTGGCAAGCATAGTCTAGTTCTTTTTCAAAGCAAGTCATCTGAAGCTCTAATTAGAAAGAGAATTGGATTCGTTTGTCTGCTATCGGTTGGGGGAACACATGGACCTGGGGAGATTTCTCAGCCACTTCCTTCGTGACTTAAAAAAATAAATACCAATCCAATGCTTTTTCTGAGATTTGAGTATGCTGTAGCACACTCAAATGCCAGCAATGATAACTTGAAAGTAATTCTAGTCAGAATTTCACAAAGTAAGCTGTTAATGAGATATCAATACTTCATCCAGTGATTGAACAGGCATTACGGCATTTTTTGCATGGAAGCATGTTGGATATACAAACAATATAATCGTGCGAACTTAGAGTAGAAAATATGAAAGGGATGAAACGCGAACCGCATAAACGTTGTCTCGTTGCCACAGAAAACGTACCCAAAGTACCCTTCCTCCGACCAAGTGAGAATCCAGATGATCAACGGCCTCAACTGCAACCTACAGATTAAATCAAACGGAGGTTTGATGAACATGGACGATTCTCCTATTCCTCCTTTTGGAATTATAATCTTCGACAACATACCTACTGACCGAGATCTGGAGCACGATTTCAACGCAAGTAATTGTACGCGAGGAGCCTTCGTTCCAGAAAACCAGTTCCAGTGGTCCTCATCTCTCCCAGACTCAACCCAACTAAACTTGGGGGGAAAAGTGAGAACTCATCTCTGTCTTCGGGGTTTGAGTAGGTCTGATCTGACCTGCTTGCATCACTTCTTCAGGTTGTGACTTTCCTCGTGAGTGTCGTGATGAACAATACCCGTGCTCTTACCGTAACGCGGATGCAGGACGACGACATCGAGAAGGGAGAAGGGGGATTTCCGAAAGTCAGGTCTGCCAAATTCCTCTATTTCATGAGACCTTATCGGCGATCGAAGGGGCGTCTGAAAAGGGGAAAAATGGGGTTGCAGGGTCTTATTCAATACTCCGGATGCATTTTGGAATAACACCATCGTCAAGTTCAAGGCGGAGGATGAAATGGGGCTGAAACTGGTGGACGGTCCCATCGGCGCCACCGAGTATGGAGAAGCAGAACTAGACGAGTGAGACCCTTCTCATTCGATATCCAAAGCAATACTTAGATTTCGAGACCATCTTCGTGCGGTCTTTTTTTATTCCAGGAGCACGGTGTGCATTGAAGAGTTCTCCAAACCATGCGTGGACGTGAAGAAATTCAAAGGGGAATTCGGAGCCACCTACAACGTCCTCATCCAACGCGACGAAAAGGAAAATAAGATTGTGAGCACCTCGAATCTTAGTCTCTGGAGTCGGGGGTCTCTGGAGCGATCATCTCTTCTGCTTTTTACCCACTAGGACCTTTGGCAATACGAGGTGACGTCTCCGAACAGCATGAGCATGTTCCTTCAGATCCCTCAATACGTCATCATCACCATCGGCGAGATCATGTATTCCATCACAGGCCTCGAGTTCTCATATCAACAGGTAACCCCGTCACGAGAAGCAAATTCCATTTCCCCCGAAAACCACTAATGCTTCGTTTACTCCGCGTCGGAATCTCTTTTCAGGCGCCGAAATCAATGAAATCGGTGGTGACGTCAGCCTGGCTCCTCACCAACACGTTCGGAAACCTCATCGACGTCTTCATCGTCGCCGTCAAGTTCTTCGACAGTCAGGTACGAGGCGATAAAGGGCATTTCCTCCCGATTTCCCTTTCCTTTTTTCTTATCAACATGGACATAACTTTGTGGTGTGAACAGGCGTACGAGTTCTTCCTTTTCGCGGCGATCATGGGAGTGGCTATGGCAGCCTTCGCGACCATGGGATATTACTACCAGTCGGTGGATAATCCAGACGCAGACGACGACGAGGAGGAGAAGAGCCGTGAGATGCTGGAAAAGGAGAAGATGGCCTACCAAAACAAGGCTCTAGATGATGACTAATCGTATCGCAGACCCGAAGGACACTAATTTATGCAGCCATCGCTGCCATTCCGTGACCGTCGGGTGGATTCGGTGGGATCATTGATCCTAAAAACCTTAATATATATGGATAAATTTTATTGCTAATGGAAGCACGAACGGGGTTTCACTACCGATTTCACCTATGTCTTAGTGCCGGGAAGATTTGAATGGCATCATTGAAACATTGTTGAAAAAATGAGTGAAGGCGCAAGCGAAAATCACTCTTCGCAACCGCTTTTGTCGTTCTTTTTGCCGTTGTACATCCGTTTTCAATTGCAAAAAGAAATGCTGCAGTGTTACGAGACATTCAATACCGTTCAGGGTATCCTGAACTATGTGTGAACATGCTGTTGTATTCTGCTTTCACTTCAATATCATTGTTGGATCCTATGTAATACACAACCATCCTCGGATCGATAGTTTGTTCCCTGGTTAATTCCAATAAATAATTTAGTGTTGGTTGGAACAAGTCTGCATACATTAGAATGTACATTACTGTTCAAAATTTGATAACTAAAAGCTCTTGCAACGTTTCGCAGGGGAGACATTCTACCTCAAGAAATGAAATTGTCAGGAAATTTGGTTGCACCTTCTATAGGGATTGGCTTGATTCAATAGCCTCCCTGGATTCTGAAAGAATATCTGCATTCCATCTCAAGTGATTCTCGAGAGTATTGTCCCAAAACTATCCCTCGAGGGTTAAAGTGATCTGAACTAGGAGCCCTGAAATGAACCAGGGAAATGTTTTTGGACCTAAATGAAAGCCAGAATAAAGCTGAATCAAATTCGTTCAATTAATTTTTCTATCTATATTACAAAATATGGTGAAAGCTGCAAAAGATGCAAAATATTTCCATCGAATTTTCAATACTTTCAATAATTGTTGAAATTTCAATATACTAGTCAGAATTAATGAAAAAATGTAGAATGCAATTCGCTACTTAGTTTCAAAGAGCGGAAATTTTCATTTGAAAAGTCCCATTCATTAATATCGACAGTTTCATCTCCTACTTCATACAGGATCCAAACTCGAGGCTAATGTTAGATGAAGGGTCTCCTCAATATCTTTCTATCAATATATGACTCATACTGTTTCTTTACATTTTCACACCTGTGCGCTTTTTTATATCTGCGAACACCCCAATTTTTCTTTGTAAAATGTTATTCAAAGTAGTAGGCTGGTAAGTTAATGAGGTCTGGGTGCTTTACAACTGTGATAAATGCATTGATTTCACCATGTTTCAAACATCAACAACTTAACTTTCTCCTAATCCACGTAATTGCACTTATTTGACGCGAGACACAGTACACACTTGAAAAAGATGCGTACGATAATTTTTTCATTTACTAGAGTTAGATAGCAGTCTAATCATTTTCCCAGATACAGTATTTAAAACCATTGAGAGCATTAATTCGCAAAAATCACTGCATGTCTGCACTTCCTTATTTTTTAAAGGTCACAATAGTGTTTCCTTCTAGGAATGGAGAGGGTTGTCAAATTTGTGAAAATTTCTGCTTTTCTGTTCTTAAGTTAAAAAGAAGTTTATTGAACAAGTCTGATTCGGTTTTTCACGGCTTTACTCTGAATTCAAAAACACTTGCAAACTCAATGAGAGCCAAATGTACCCTAGCAGCATATAACATTGATACAACATTGATTCAATGTTGAGTCAACATGCGGACGTTGAATCAACTTTGAATCAATGTTGATTCAATGTTATATGCTACTTGGGTAGCCGTTTGGCCCCTCCGATCACATTCCCCCCTTTGGAGCCTAGCTTTCGGACGGCACATCTTGGCAAGCATTTGAGCTAGAGCTAAACAAAACTTTGAAACTCAATTTTTTTGTAACTCAAGTTCACCTCGCTCTGACAACCGTTTTACATAATTTCAAATTCCTAAACTGATCACGCGCGATGCTATATGATAAGTATCGTGACATAATGGTTCCATGATAACTCCGATAAAATCCTTGTTTGGCCATAAATTCTCTTGATTAATCCAAAATATGTTTGGGGATATCATTGGCAGAAAATTGCAAGGAAGCAACTTTCTCAATGATGCATTGTAGAAGGCTATTCCGGTTGCCAGAAAATCGAAATATGTACAAATAGGAATATATAAACAAATATATGCAAAGGGGATACCACGTGGAGAGATGACTGCAATTAGAGACAGGAATGGTACCACCAGCGGCGTAGCGTCGATGTGGGGGGCAGAAGGGGGGGGAGGGGCACATGTGCCCCCCTCCCACTTTTCAAGAAAAGGAAAATGAAGAAGGAAAAGACTCATGAAATGCATGATAGTCTCCCAAATTTCCTGTGCCCCCCCCTACCCACACTTTTTCCGATCAAGTTACGCTTAGGGATACCACCCATTATTAGTCCTGTGTGCCATTTGCGAACAACATTGCGTTACTAAGTGGATCTTGAACAGGATCTTTTAGGAATAAATGGACCTGTAGAGGGAAAATGTCATTTTGATCACGTTGACTCTTGTTTTAAAAAGAGTGAGCTCTTCGCCATTGAAGGTATGAGCATCCTCTCCACTTGTGCGCAGTAGTTGAGTAGTGCTTTTCCCAATCCTTAGATGGCAGGCAGTTGCTATTATTTTGGGAGTCTCCCAAATCCAAGCGTTGTGGCTTGGGACTTTCTCTGTGATAAAGAAGCTTCTAAGTTTATCGGTTCCTGAAGTGCATAGCACACCAACGACATCTTGGTCAAAACTTGGTCGAGCGCATAATGGATTTCTGGAATTCAACCTCCAGCCAATTTTGGGTGCCATATTTGTGATTATCAAGCTTTATAGGACATTTTGTTATTTGACGATTTTAAATAATTTTTTATTTGTTGACTCGGCCAAGATTGTAGAGGAACATAAATAAATCCCACAGTTTCTTATAATCACCACTCACGTCCATCATCTAGCAGAAACATCAATATGAATATAGACCCCCTCCGCAATATCTCGAAGCCCAGGAAGTCTCATTTGTGATGGCTCAGCACATTGGAAAGTTCCGAAGTAAGTGGTTGGGAATCTGCTTCTCCTTCTAGAAGTATCCAAACTCCTGTATAGTGGATCTTCGCCACAGAATAATCGATGCAATAAAGAATGTAACTCCCGAGATGCTGAACAACACCTAGTGGGAGATAGAACATCACCTCGACATTCTACGAGCAATAAACGGTACACTTGTGGAAGTCTTATAAGACAAGAAAAGAACTTTATGAGCTGTTCGCCAAGTTAAATAAAACCGGAGTGTTCTATCTGTAATGTATTTGAAGTTTTTAATTTTTAAAATGGGTCAGATAATTTATGGACACCCTATATGTAGACAATATGATGATGCACCATACCAGTGTTGAAGTCTCAACGCTTGGGGCACAAGTGCTGTACATACCATATCTCCCACGTCTAACGACGCTTCATTGGCACACGTTACTGCCACGTCAGGAAGTGCGACTGGAGAACGGACGAGATCCAGGGTATATTGTAGATGTGCTTTGAATTGAATGTTTCTGCCTCTGGCCATCGTTTGAATTGATAAACTCAATTGATAAACCCATTTCATTTCTTGTTGAACACAAACAGTAAATTGGAAAATTGGAAAATATACTCTTCGGGTGTAAAGTGGTGGGTGGTTGAAAGTGGGGAATGTCCTGTTGTACCCAACTGCCTATCACTGTACCTAGGGGCAGGAGTGTTGTGGGACATTTGCAATTCATTTGAAATTTCATTGTTCAGCAGAAAACTGTCACTTTGAATGAACCTAGGCAAAAATATTGTAAGGAAACCTATAGACTTCAATAGAGTTTTCAATAGAGTTCTATGGAATTCAATATACCACTCATAGCGCTTGGATAGGACTCTATACAGATTGGGGTGCCCGACGGTAAGGGGCTAGGAACCGTTGAAGCAGAAAGCATACTATCACGTAGGTAGTGCTCAGTGGTGGCTCGTGGACAAAAAATCTGGGGTGGCCAGAGCGTCATCTTCATAGTGAGCAATTCATTGTAATGATAATAGGTGCATGTTCCACGAACTGTGTTAAGGTTAGTTTTATCGCCTGATGAGTCGCACTGCTTGAAGTTGCAGGTAGCTGCGATAAAAGGCTGAACAAGAAAACGTACCATGATGGCAGTTTGTATTAAATCAAAAATATTGGGTTGTAACATATATTCCCGCCGTTTTTATATTTTGTTTGTTTTCACTCCATATTTTTGAAGTTTGGCAAAGTGGATATAGTCATTCGAAAGAGCGTTCTTTCCTCTACAAACTTATTGCCACCATTTTTCCGAATAACTTAATTTTACTTAACTTTCAGGTATTTGAAATGGAAATACCAGGCGGCAAGAAAACCCATTTTCGACACTTGCTTTATTTCGCGTTTCGCCGTAATCAAAAAGCAGCCGAAGCAGCTCGGGATATTTGTGCCGTTTACGGAGAGGGTGCTATAGCTGCGAGGACTGCTCGAGATTGGTTTGCCAAGTTCAAAAATGGCAACTTCGACCTGGACGACACGCCTCGCTCTGGGCGACCTACCGAGTTCGACGAAGACCATTTGAAGGTGCTTTTGAAGGAGGACGGTCGCCAAACATGCAGAGAATTGGCCGAGAAGATGAACAGCAATGCAATGACGATATCCCGTCACCTTCAATCAATTGGTTTTACTCAAAAACTTGGAGCTTGGCAAACCAATCTCGAGCAGTCCTCGCAGCTATAGCACCCTCTCCGTAAACGGCACAAATATCCCGAGCTGCTTCGGCTGCTTTTTGATTACGGCGAAACGCGAAATAAAGCAAGTGTCGAAAATGGGTTTTCTTGCCGCCTGGTATTTCCATTTCAAATACCTGAAAGTTAAGTAAAATTAAGTTATTCGGAAAAATGGTGGCAATAAGTTTGTAGAGGAAAGAACGCTCTTTCGAATGACTATATCCACATTGCCAAACTTCAAAAATATGGAGTGAAAACAAACAAAATATAAAAACGGCGGGAATATATGTTACAACCCAATATGTCAAAGCAGAGCAAAAATTGAACTTTTTGTAAAATATTTGAAGAGTAAAAGCGCATACGGTCCTTGAGTAAAGTATCAGTTTCTGACATTCTCCCCTCCCATGTAACAAATTTTTATAGACTCTTTAAAGAAAAAATGATTTACAGTAAGGTCATATATAATTCCATTATTTCCCTCTAAAGAATTCTATTAAATCGCAGTATGGAAATTCAATGGAGATTCTATAGAGATCCTATCAAGAATCTTACTGAATTTCTAGAGAACTACAGACACCGAAAAAAAAATTCTTCAGAATTTCTAGAATTTCTATAGGATTGTAGGAACTTTTTTGTGTCACTGTCTAGAAAGTGTACAGAATTTATATAGCATTTCATGAACTTCTGTTGTCAGCATATAAAAAAACATATTGAAATCCTATCAAATTTACCCTGTATTTGGAAAAGGTAGAAG